TTTAAAAGATTATTTTTTTAAAAAATGAACCCAAAAGAAACAAGGAATGTAAAATGTGGAGACAGCTTCTCTTGGACTTGGTGGGACCGTGCTGTGGGTTTATTGATTTGTTCAAATTTAAAGCATTTGCAAACTGCTTCTTATTGTGACATACCGCCCCAATCTGCAAGCAGTGAGAAACTCCAGCCGTTCCAGCACTTGCCCAGGGTTCAGTTTCTTTGGAACAAGAGGAGACCGTGATGCATTTGGGATAGGTAGATAGATATACATACAACCTGAGCGTAGGGTGGAGGGGCTCACAGCATTAACACCTCAGCAGATCTTGCTGTTCCATTGGTCACAGTTTTAGATCCAGGACAGACTCTCTGTCTGCAGCTTCTAGCACTCCACTTTTCAGCTCTCACACACAATGCTGGCAAGTTCATGAAGCAGGGCGGGGGGTGGAAGCCCATTGAGTTGTTTTATGGCAACAGAGCGACTTCTTTGGGGATGTTAAATCATGGCACTTAACTAGCCAGCCGTTAACTTGATAATGGACCTGGTTTGGCAAGCTTGCTCTCGTATATTGGAAGAGGACCCCAGATGATATCCGGACTGAGCCCCAACCTCACCCGCAAAACACATAACAATCATTTTTTATTTTTGAAAAATCTCAAAGATGTGTACACAGTATAAAAACGGGGTCAAGAATATTGTTAAAACTAAAACAGAAATACAGCATGAAACATTGAAAACAGTAGTGTAAAAATATATAAAAGCTTACAAAATGGGTGTTCATATGAATTTATTTAAAAAAAATATTTGGGGCCCGGGGAAGCTTGAGCAAAGAAGATTGCAAAATCGAAGAAATCACAGCTAGCTAAATGCAGGAATCACATTCATATGCACCACAGCTTTTGAAGAACTAGAGATCACTTCATCAGATGCATTATTATTACATTTTGGTAATGCTTTCATGAAGAAATGGACATTTCTTCTTGTGAACTGCCCTGGGGTGTATTTGTATGAAGGTGTGTAGATGCTTCCGATAAACTAAATGAAAACAAAGACCAGGCTGTTCATCTGGGCGGCTTCTTGTGTTCTTGTGTCCTGCCTAACCCCCCCTCCAGCAGCCAGCCCCCTCCCCAGGCATCCATCAGGCCTTGTTTGTGGGTTAAGCCCTGACTGACCTAAATGGAGCCTGCTTTGAATTTGGCTGGTTTCAGTCTAGCACCCCCCCACACACATTCCTCTTCCTGGCCAAACCCTAGGTGGTTTGGGGGGCAGAGTGAAGTGCGATGTGTTCCAGTCACCTGCTCAGTCAGGAAGGCTTCGTGTTTGTAAACAAGACAGCATGCAAAATGGTATATGTGCACCAGGGAAGCGCACTGAGAGATTAAATGCACTGTTCTGCTGTCACGGTGTGCGTGTGTGTGTGTTAGGGATGTGCGACCATGTCAATTTTTGTTTCAGTTTCTCCTTTCTCCAATCGGTTCTCCACAAAAAAGCATATGGAGTAAACTAAACACACAGTCCCTGCTCCTGCCAACCTAGCAGTTCGAAAGCACCTCAAAGTGCAAGTAGATAAATAGGTACCACTCCGGCAGGAAGGTAAACGGCATTTCCGTGCGCTGCTCTGGTTCGCCAGAAGCGGCTTAGTCATGCTGGCCACATGACCCGGAAGCTGTACGCCGGCTCCCTCAGCCAATAAAGCGAAATGAGCGCCGCAACCCCAGAGTCGGCCACAACTGGACCTAATGGTCAGGGGTCCCTTTACCTTTAACTTAAAAACACAGACATACCCGTGTGCAGCTAACGCCACACAAAGGCTCGCACAACTCAAACACATACACTCTCTCACACTTAAAGTCATACAGTGGTACCTTGGGTTAAGTACTTAATTCATTCCGGAGGTTCGTTCTTAACCTGAAACTGTTCTTAACCTGAAGCAACACTTTAGCTAATGGGGCCTCCTGCTGCCGCCACGCCACCAAGGCACGATTTCTGTTCTCATCCTGAAGCAAAGTTCTTAACCCGAGGTAATATTTCTGGGTTAGTGGAGTCTGTAACCTGAAGCGTCTGTAACCCGAGGTACCACTCTTGAGTTCCCACACCAGAAGCGCAGCCATACAGTACAGGAAAGGAGTGTTGATACAGATTGTACAACCGTGGCTTATTCACTCATAAGAAGAACCCCACTGAATCAGTCCAATGACCAGTCTACTCCAGCATCCTGTTCTTACAATGGCCAGCAAGATGCTCCATTGGGAATCACACAAGCAGGACCTGAAGCACTCTGCCTGTGATCCTCCAGCACCTGGCATTCAGAGGCATGAAGCCTCCAACAGAGGAGTGACCACTGGCCAATAGCTGCTGATAGCCCTCTCCTCCATGAATTTGTCAAATCTTTTAAAGCCATCCAAGTTGGTGCCCATCACTGCCTCCTGCCAGAGGGAATCCCATAGTTTAACTACAAAAATAAGTTCTTTCTTTTCTTCTGAATTTTCCAACATCCAGTATCAATGGATGGAAGGATGATGCACACAGAACTATCATCCTGTTACACAAACTCTCTCTTTCACACACACAGATAACGATGCATGTAGGCTTCAGGAATTATTGTGCAGGTACCCAGAATCACACTCATGGAACCTCTTGCACATGATCAAAACAATACACTCACGCATGCCTCCTGTACATTTTTGTTGTTGTTGTTTAGTCGTTTAGTTGTGTCCGACTCTTGGTGACCCCCTGGACCAGAGCACGCCAGGCACTCCTGTCTTCCACTGCCTCCCGCAGTTTGGTCAAACTCATGCTGGTAGCTTCGAGAACACTATGCAACCATCTCGTCCTCTGTCGTCCCCTTCTCCTTGTGCCCTCCATCTTTCCCAACATCAGGGTCTTTTCCAGGGAGTCTTCTCTTCTCATGAGGTGGCCACATTTTTGGAGCCTCAGCTTCAGGATCTGTCCTTCCAGTGAGCACTCAGGTCTGATTTCCTTCAGAATGGATAGGTTTGTTCTACATACTTGACCACAATGAATACCTTTTCCTACAATAAACAGGGAGGGGATCTCTCCCCTTCCACCCCCACTTTCTGGCTCTCACATACTACAAGGTGGGAAGTATATAATTCTCTCCAGTGCTTGCTTCTGCTTACATACTATATATGCACACACACATATATATCCACTCGCTGGATCATCTGACAACTGGAAAACACTGGCCTGTGAGTGCTCCAGTTGGAGAACAGCCTTTACCAATGGTGTCATGGGCTTTGAAGACACTCGAACTCAGGACGCAAGGGAGAAACGTGGTAGGAGGAAGCACGCTTGGCAAATCCACACCGTGATCAGCTCCCGCCCGGAAACCAATGTCCCCACTGTGGAAGGACGTGTGGATCCAGAACTGGCCTCCACAGTCACTTACGGACTCATTGTTAAAACTGTGTTTATGGAAGACAATCTCACTCGGCTACGAGTGATCGCCAAAGAAGAAGAAGATATGCACATACTGTAACAGATCTGCCTGTAGCTGGGTGGTAGAGCGTTTGCACTACATGTAGGTTCAAACTCCAGTATCTGCAACTAGGGCTGGGAATGAGCTGCTATCAGTTGGAGCGGAGTAGAGAGAGACCAGTGGTCTGGCACAGTATAACTGAGTGTCCCATCAGTGAAGGGCCTTGATTTAGTGTTAGAGCACCTGTTTGGCATGTAGAAGGTTCCAGGTTCAATCCCCGGCATCTCCAGGTAGGGCTGGAAACATCCCCTGGGGAGCCCTTGGAGAGCGGCTGCTGGTCATTGTAGACTATTGGACTACTTGGATATTGCTCAACTGCCTTGGTGTATCACGTCATGAAATTTCTGCCCATTGAAGCAATTGAAATGGGCTGTGCTAGTTGATTTCTAATTGTATCTCAGAATTAAAATAGTAAGGCAATAGAATACAATACAATAAATTTAAAAAGCAAGCTGGTTTTTTTTAAAAGCCTTATTTATAGCCACATCAGATAACTGACCCACCCACTCCAGGTTCTTAGAGGGTAAGCACACTCTTTGAACTGTCTACTGTAGTGGGTTTTTGTAGCTTACTTAATGACACAGTCACACGGATGGCAAATGCCACCCAAATACAATTTCATCCGGCGCTCTTTTCGATTATATGAGTTTTTGATCTGCTGTTTATGTCTTATCTTGTGATGCTGCCGTGTTGCCTCTTCTGTACAAGTTTCTTCAGGTATTTTTCTTTATACCTTTCATCTCCTTACCTTATACCTGAGCGTGCTCAGTTCCTTTCCTCTTTTGTTGACTCATTGGAATACCCTGCCTGTATTGTTTGTTATACATTTAATAAGATAATTTTAAGAAAGAAAGAAAGAAAGAAAGAAAGAAAGAAAGAAAGAAAGAAAGAAAGAAGCAGTAAAAAGGCAATTTGAAACTCAATATGCATATTTAATGCAGCAATGCCTCGGATCCCCTGAACAAAGCCTGCTAACCTTTGGCAGTGCACAAATCACAGTTTGGGAGCCCCTGATGTAGACAACACTGAACCGGATGGACCAGTGGTCTGACTCAGTATAAGTCGGCTTCCTCCGTCTCTTTCCCTCGTGTACGCATTTTTCTTTATCTCTCTCTCCCCTCTGGAAGGAGTCTCTCCCCTCTCTCCCATACTCATCCAGACTTGCACAAGGCGGGGCAGAGGGTCTTTACAGAGCATTAAGACTTTGTCTCTCCCACTCCCCATAGCCGTACCTTTATGTCTGCGCGACAAAGGAAATAACACACACAAAGAGAGAGCCATCTAAATACAAGCAAATATCTTAGCCCTTTCTTCCATCCTTCAGATTTCTACTCTCCTCCATATCCTGAATATACACCAAGCCATGCGCTCCATCAGGAGGGCTCGGTATAGGCCAGTCCTAAGGATGCCGGCGTGGTCCTGTCCATCTTCATCTCCGAGCTTCTGAGGCACTCGCTTCCGCTCCCCTGCGCTGGGAAAAGGGCAGCTACCTCCCCCCCTCCCCGTCCTCCGCCTCTAGCGGCAGACGGTGGATGGGTCCCCGCGGACCTGGATCGGCCCGTGTGTTCCGGGGACGTAAGAGCCAGCGCTCGCCAGCTCCTCAGGGGTGGCCTCTGCGTCAAGGGGAGCAGCCGGAGCCAAGGCGCTGGAGAGAGAGAGAGAGGACGCCAAATGTAGAGAGAGCCTGGAGCATCCTGGCACTTGCCTCTCTCTCTCCCCCCCCCCCGCCCTCCTGAGCATCATCTCGCCTCGGCCCCTTCACAGGTTCTCCTGCGCATCGCCTTGGCGAGCCAGGCGAGGTCGAGGCGTGGGTAGGTGGGTGAGTGAGTGAATGGGGGCTCCCGGGTTTTTGCGCATGGCTCTCCGGCGGGGCTGACGGTCCGTTCAGCACCAGGGACAGCGGCAAAGCGCTCCAGCACCACGGAGAGCGCGCCCTTGCCCCGAGAGAGGAAGCGCCGGCTTGGACTTCAGCACCACGGACAGCGGCCGAAAGGTGGGGGGCGACTTAGAAGGAACTTGGGCTGGGTTAGAGATTGCGGTGCCCCCCCCCCCAAAACAACTCAGAGAAGCCTCCATTCTCTGCAGTCTCCCCACCTCCACACACACACACACACCTCATTCAATCCTAGGAGCTGCCGGAACCGCCTGCACCACTTGGATTGTAACCCCCCCATATTGGAGGGGGTGTGTGGAACGCGTAAGGACAGAGGCAATGTCTTTATTTTGAGGGAGAAGATTCCTCGCCCACCCGCTTCAATGGCTCTTCTGATCTGCCTCTGCCTCCTTGGGATCCTAAGAAGTAAGTGTGACCCCCCCCTCCTTTCCCTATAGCGTTTAGGGCTCCCTTTCCCCCAAGACTAGCGTCCTACTCTAAATGAAAGCAGAGGCTTTGTTTAGAATCAGACAGTGCGCCCTTTCCTCCTCTCGGCTTCCTAGGGAGGGGAGCCGCTGCCGGTCGCGAGTACGAGCTTCTATTTTTATTGTGTCTCCAAATGATGCTCTTGAAAAATACGTCAGTTACTCAGCTGGGCAGAGATTTGACAGGCCGCCGATGGCTTAGCGGGGAAGCCAGATCGCCCCGTCCAGCTCCTGCCTAACCAGTACTCAGGGTGGGCAAGGCGACTTCCATCTCAACAGGCCAACTCATGCTGAAGTTTCCTCAAAAAGAAAAAAGGAAAGGGGGGAAAACGGGAGGGGGGGGATCTGGGAAGGTCATTTATCTGCCCATCCTCCATCCGAGGAACCGCACTAGGCAAGGCGGAAGAGGCTGGGGAGTGGGGCAGCAGGATGGGGGCTGAGATTAGGTTCCCCTTAGGCACCGACTGTTTACAGCTGGAGGATAGCCCCAGGGAAACTCCATGGGACTGGCTCTGTCTGACAGTCCAGCTAGCTCCATCTGTCTTCTAGCAAGGGGCAGCTGCAGGAGCTCGAAAGTTCATAACCCCAGGCACGATGACGATGAGAGAGAGAGAAGGAAACCAGGAGAGAGGGAGAGGGAGAAGGAGAGAACCCGATAACGCCGGAGGATCTTCTGAGTGATATGAGGATGGAGGCGCGGTTGATAGGAGCACTAGATGGTTATCTGGGGGTTAATGACTTTGGTGGCTGATGCTCATTGGGGCTGGTGGGGCGGAAGGCAGGGAGCCCGGCAGTAGGCGGAGCCAGAGTCAATGACAGGCAGAGCTAACTGATTATAGTTTTGTCCCCATCCTCCTCTTCCCTGCTGAGTTCTGCAAGGGGCATCGCTGAGACTAAGGGTGCCGACAGGCCTGGTTATGAGTCAAAAGGCAGGCAGATGGGGGCACATTAAGCTTGGTGGGGCAGTGCCCCAATTGACTAGCCTCCACTGGGTATTGGGTTCTTGCAAGACTTCTATGAGAGGACAATTGTATGGCAGTTGCAGACAGTGTTGAATAGGGGGTGGGAGCTTGCAGTCCTCCTGACATCGCTGGACTCCAGCTCACATCATCCCTGACCAGCCTGGCTGATGGGAATCATTGTCCAACCATGCCTTGATGGGCACAGGCTCCCCACTCCTGTTGCAGAAGGGGCCCTTTACGAAGTATCTGAATGGTGCAGTTGCACAAGCTGGGCCTTATAGGCCTAGAATAATTTGGCCGTTGCTGTCATGGGTTTCTTTTAATAATTATGTTTACTTGTGTGTTTTTTAATTGCAAGCTGTTTTGGGGTGAATTGCAGGGGGAGTGAGATATTCATTAAAAACAAAAACCACCCCACAATATTTAAAATGAGGGATCGTCCAGAGAGGGCAGAGTCCCTCAAGGAAGCAGGTTTAACATCTGGGTATTCTGCAGCTTCCAGTAGATAAATTAGATGCCTTGTATTTAGGTTTCGGGATTCGAACCGAAAGGTCGGCGGTTCAAATCCCCGCGGCGCGGTGCGCTCCCGTTGTTCGGTCCCAGCGCCTGCCAACCTAGCAGTTCGAAAGCACTCCCGGGTGCATGTAGATAAATAGGGACCGCTTACTAGCGGGAAGGTAAACGGCATTTCCGTGTGCGGCTCTGGCTCGCCAGAGCAGCGATGTCACGCTGGCCACGTGACCCGGAAGTGTCTCCGGACAGCGCTGGCCCCCGGCCTCTTGAGTGAGAGTCTGTCAAGACTGGCCCGTACGGGCAGGGGTACCTTTACCTTTACCTTACTATTTAGGTTCTTGCTGTTTTGTGTTGACCTGTAGATTCCCTCACCTTATAGATGCCTCACACACAACATTTTCTAGCTAATGACATGCCCAAAGTCCTGTTCTCCATGAACACGATCCTATTGTGGAGTAGAGCAACCTTGACACTGCATTCAACAGAGAAGAACCCTGTGTGTCCATCAAACTGTCTTAAACAAAGCCACAGGACAGAATTCTATAGGTTATTTATTAGATCAGGAATGGGGAATGTCTGGTTCTCCATACATTTTTGGATTCCAACTATCTAGCATGGCCAATGGTCAGGAATGATGATGAGCTGGAGTCCAGCAACATCAGGAGGGCCAGAAGCTACCAACCTATTTCCTAGACACATGTCCCAACCCTCCAGGGATCATATATTAAATGCACATGCGGCCATCCAGATGTTGTCGGACTCGAACTCCCATCAGCGCCAGGCAGCATGGCCAATGGTCAGGAATGATGGGAGTTGAAGACCAGAAACACCTGGAGGGCTTCAGATTCCCCCTACCTGCTTTAAAAGGAAATCCAGCCATTTCTCTAACAGGAAATGATGACCTAGCTCATTTCAAGGGATAGTGCTTTGAGGGAGGCGTGGTGGAAGCAGAGAGAGAGAAGGAGAGAGAGAGAGAGAGAGAGAGAGAGAGAGAGAGAGAGAGAGAGAGAGAGACATTTCACACTACATTCTCTTCAACATCACATCACTCCTGATCTTATAAACTTCTGTCACATTCCTGAGGAGGATCAGATGATGCTCACGCAAGCAGAACTTTATAAACATTGTGTAGGTAATTTCAAATTTGCAATGCCTATTCTGGCAGGCAAATCCATTCTGTCTGTGCATTGTAGAAGGGCAACTTAACATCCTTTCTTCTCTCATGCATGTCAAGAGGAATCACAGTTAATCATGTAGTTGGGTGTATGTGTGTGCGCTGTATGTATAGTTAACTCTCGGAGGGAATTCCAGCCTTGTCGCACAGGAGAGCTGCACAGAGCAGCAGCAGCAGTGAGGAAGATGGATGAACCACAGTTACTTGTGAGTTACTGCTAGCCTCCAGCATCCAGACTCCAAAGGACTACAGGGTCCCTGGTGGCTAAGCGGCTGAGTCCATTGCCAGCTCATCCACAGGTACCATTCCCCACATCTCTGCTACAGCACCGCCCCTCCCACCCATCAATTAGGGGAAACAACATTTTCCCTAGTCTGCCCTGCAAGACGGTCATAAGGATTGCTTTAGGTATGCAACAGACTTTGCCCGTGTGAAATACGCTATACGTGTACGAAGCAACAGCAAGCATCATTATTGCAACGTTTACCCAATCAGTCCAGTGTTGGGTAGCCTTTGTCCTTCCAGATGTTGCTGAACTCCCCATCAGTGCCATCCTGCCTGGCCAGTGGTCAGGGATGATGGAAAGCAGAGTCCAGTGGCGTCTAAGACCACAGTTTCCCCATTCCTGAATAGATCAAGGTTATTTGTTTCTATGTAACTATACTTTTTAAAAGGTGGCTGGTTTTACCAATGACCAGTAGGTGAGTGTCTTCATAGACACACTTCTCTGTCCTCCATTCAGTAAGGAAGAAGCATTATCAGAGGTCAAGGACACATTATAGCCAGGGAAAAACCCCCAAGCCAAGCAGGGTGAGTGAGGGGTGTGGCATGGGTGGGTGTGCAGGTTGAGGAGGGTCCCAGGGAAGCCCCGAGGGATGCGTATGGCCCCTGGGCCCATAGTTCCCGACCTCTGCTTTAGAGGAGACTCGCTCCTGAAGACAAGAGGTCTTTACAACTCTTCTTTTTCTCTTTCGCAAGGATGGGGAAGATGGGGCCATCTGGACTCCAACTCCCATCAGGCCCAGGTAGTCTGGGATGATGGAAGCTGTAGTACAGCAACATCTGGAGGTCCTCAGTTTCCTCATTTCCTATGTTAAAGAGAGAGAAATATTGTATTCACATGTAGAGCAATGAAAGGAGAGAAGGGTGCTGAGTGACAGGCAGGTCTTCTGTGAGCCTTGAGGGGACTGGGCTGCTCTTGCATGACCTTCCAAGCCCCACTGCTGAAATCCCATAAACATTCAATATTTACATTATCGTCCCTTTCCATATGATTCTTCGGATCTCTTTCTGCCTCCCTTCTTTCCCCCACCCACCAAACCCCAGTCCCTACGCAGCAGCAACTCATGACTTCATGGGCAAGCTTGCACCATTCATTATGCATCGGGTGTGATGTGTTATGAAAGGAAGCAACATATGAATCATGGACCACTCACCCAGTGGTTTCCCCCACAGCTCCCATCTTCCAGGTACAAAACACAGCGATCTCATTTCTCTGTTCTTGCTGCCAATGTTCTATGAGTGCCATCGCTCAGTGGTACAGCATCTACCTGTTGCAGAAGGTCCCGGGTTCAAACCCTGGCATCTCCAGGTAGGGTAGAAGAAGGCCCCCTGCCTGAAGTCCAGGAGAGCTGCTGCCAGTCAGTGTAAACAGTACTGAGCTAAGGTGAATTCAATGGTCTGAGTTGGTATAAGGCAGCTTCCTCTGTCTCTATGTTTTAGGGAAGGGCCATAGCTCAGTAAAGAGTCACATCCATTGCTCTGCCCAATTTTCTCTTCGGCTCTAGCCCCAAAGGCAGCCCGTAGGGAATTGCAATCCTTGAATGATGATGATAATAATAATAATAATAATAATAATAATAATAATAATAATAATAATTTATTATTTATACCCCGCCCATCTGGCTGGGCTTCCCCAGCCACTCTGGGCAGCTTCCAAAAAAATATTAAAATACTGTAATACATCAAACATTAAAAGCTTCCCTAAACAGGGCTGCCTTCAGATGTCTTCTAAAAGTCTGGTAGTTGTTGTTCTCTTTGACATCTGGTGGGAGGGTGTTCCACAGGGCAGGTGCCACTACCGAGAAGGCCCTCTGCCTGGTTCCCTGTAACTTGGCTTCTCGCAGTGAGGGAACCGCCAGAAGGCCCTTGGAGCTGGACCTCAGCGTCCCGGTAGAACGATGGGGGTGGAGACGCTCCTTCAGATATACTGGACCAAGGCGAATTGACGAACATTTCCTTTCTCTCTGTTTAAACCAGGGTTGGGCAACATTCAACCCTCCATATATTATT